CGCTATCCCGTTTTGGTTCATCTAAGGCTGATTTCCAAATTTGGGGAGGTGAAGGCTATCGTGAGGAAGCCGTGTCTTGGAAGCAATGTGGTTGGAAGGATTCCTCAAGCTTTGATTGTCATGAGTGTGTGCTTTGTGATGTAAGGTGCAGCGAGCTGATTTGCATTGAGGCCAGTTACAGGTGGGTAGCGCGCGTAAATATGTATTGCATGGATGTGCTATTTTCTACAAGTGCCTAATTTGGTATCTTCGCAGGACCTATGTGAAGGAGACCAAGCTGAAAGAGAAGAAGGCTAAGGGCAAGCCAAGCCAAGGAACCAAGCCAAAGAGCAAGAAGGGAGGCTCCAAGTCTAAACCCAAGAAGAACAAAGGAAAGCCTGCTGCGAACAAAGGTGAGGACAGCCAGAAGGTTCGCAGCAAGCCAAAGAAAGGCTCCAAACGCAGAGCCAGCGTCTAAACATGGCAACGCAGGGGAATGCGTGTGGCCATGTTGGCTACTTGGCTGATTTCTGGAAACCTGCAATTTGCTTCTCACCGTTGGGCGCGTTTGAGGGTTTTGGCAACTAAGGTGGGTCTAACAACCACGCCAGGCGTGCTTGTTCACGGGGCATTTACTGTTTGCAGGCAATGCCAATGCAGCAATTGGCTTGCCTGCGTGTGATCTGCAATCCTGGCCAGTGTGAGAACATACTGCGCCTACAAATTTAGCAACAGGTGCGACAGCTGCACTGGAAGAAGCGCTCGTGAAAAAAGCTCAACTGCATGCACAATTGGTTCGACCTTTGATGCGGCACACGCCACTTACTTGACTGCATTGCATTCCATTTATGTGAACCCTTTAGCTTTGCAATCATTGCCGGCCAGGTGTGTCGCGGAAGGGCAGGCGGCTGGCCTTCCGGTACAGCCGTGGTGCACCATGGCGGCACATTGCAGGCTATCGTTTGCATCGTTTCCTTCACAAGTTTGCCAACTCGTCACAGCCATATGATGTATAAAAATACCGCCCTAAAACTTTGTTTGGGTGTATACCCTTTGATGTGGTTTGCGATGCTCCCTATTGACTCCTGCACGTGAGGAAGCTTGCACCGAGCTCATCAGGGATGCAATAGCAGCCTGGAAGGATGACGAGGAGCGCGGCAGCATCCAGCACCGCTGCCCGGTCTTGAATGTCATTCGGAAGGTGAACCACAAGCGTTCAGTTGCTTGGCTTTTTGTTTTTCACCCAACCCTCTAACATAATCTGCACTCACCGTCCCAAGTACATTGGTTTTGTTTATTGCTGCCAGCAGAAAACCGTGTTTTCTTTCCCCTGCATCCATGTATTTACTTTAGGAAACCCTATGAAACCCTGTATACATTTGAGTTAAGGAAGATGGTACAGCGTTTGCCTTGCAATCGGTGGGCCTGAGCTACCCCTTCTCTCTCTCCTTCAGCAAAGTAGGCGAGTGGGATGACTTTCCCTGGATTAGACCCAGTGATTTTATCAAGACCCTGGGACTTACTGGCGACCTACATCGCATTTTGGGTGGTCACCGCAATTTGAGGGAGGCCGCGCCACTCCTACAAGAGTTCTGGAAAAGGTGGCGGGTGGTGCAACCTCTTCATAGCATCTTCAAGCTCAATCTGCCATTACAGCAATGCGTCCCGCTGTATGTTCATGGGGATGAGGGCGTCACATACAAGAAACAGGGAGTTCTTATCTTGAGCCTTCAAGCCCCGTTTGGCCGAGGTGGCAATCATGCCACCAAGCTGGAACAAAATCAGGTGCTTCCGCACAATTTGCTCGGCTTGGGGATCCCCTTGAATTTCATCGATACGGGTCTGCAAAGTAGACTGCTTTCGGTTGTGGCTCCAAAGGATCGGGTGTCGTTGCCAACCAGTTGTTTGGGAAAGCGTTGGATCCCTCAAAGCACGTTTTGTTTTTGATCAAAAATTCAAATGGACATCCCTTGGTGAATAAAATTGAGTTATTTGCCGCCTCGGAATCCCTTCAACCCTTAAAGGAGATGTACCAGCACAAGCCTGAGATTTGGGATGCCCTTTTTGAGCTCATGATCATGGACTTGAAGGTGGCTGCGGAGAACGGAGTTGACGTTTCTGAGGGCCTCCCGTTGTATCCCATCATACTGGGGAACAAGGGTGACTGGAGCTACTTGGCATCTGGCACTGGAATTAATAAGGCTTTGCTGATCCCGCGTTATGTGAAACTGTGTGCGACCCTCAAAGCCCTACCATTCAGTTGACCCGCTAGGTATCTTCCGCGCATTTGGAGCGCTCCTACCGGCGTGGGCCAAAAGGTGTTGGTGCTGAAGATGCAGAGCCGGCTGGGATTTGCCATCTTTGCATGGGTGGCACCAACAACCATGATTGGGAGGACCTGCCGCTTGAAACAACGTAACACTTCTACACCTTTGCGCTGGTTGTTTGGAATTCTAGAATTCAAGCAATGTTTTTTTACAACAATGCTCAACCAGTTTTACAAACCACCCCGCTCCCATCCCCAACAATAGATTGGAACACCAAGAAGTCTGGGAGGTTTACTTCTGCTGCAACAGTTGGTGCTGAGGAACCAAGCGAAGAAAGACATGAACGCTGCTTCACTGGTAGGTGTGCCACTTCCCTTTGACCCCATGAAGGGCGACCAATTCACCTCCAACCTTTTGCATGATGAGAGCAACAATGGGCGCGCACGGTTTCATAGACCAGATGTGTGGCATATAGTGCAGATGGGAGTCGCCAAGGCTTGGATAGCCAGCAGTTTACATGTGGTGCAATCTAGCATTATTCCTGGACGCTCCCTAGACGCGCGGATGCATGAGCTTTCCCAGCATTACATCAAGTATTGCAAAGACTTCCACCGCACAAAGTACATCAACCGACTTGATAAGCTGATCATTGGCCCTGGAGGAAACATTGAGCCTACTGGATGCTGGAACAAGGCAGCTTTGTCGGTAACACTGATGCAATGGCTACAACACCTATCCTTTGAAACGTTGAAGGAAGGCTTTGAAGCGGATGACAAGCTGCGCTGCATCGCATTTTGGGCGGGAATGTTTAGTGCCCTATTCTTTGTACTTGAAATTGGATAGGTATACATGTATAGTGTGAGTGAGGGTTATTTGCAACACCTGCCCAAACAGCCGTTGAGGCACATGGCACCCGTGCAATGAACACATTCTTTGAGGAGCTCTACGCTCATGACTGCTGGATTCCACGTCGCGATGCCATAAAGATTGTTCAGGCCGGAAACTTCTTCATGAAGGCCTACCTGTACATGGCCCACCAGCAGTACTTGCAGAAGAAGATTGGGTATGCACTGCTTCCCAAATTACACTTTTTTCATGAAATAATTCATGAAATGGAACGACAAATTGATTTAAATGCATCTTGGGTATACAGCCCGCTTGTTGAAAGCTGCAGCATGGATGAAGATTTCGTTGGACGCTTAGCAATTGTGACACGGCATGTTAACCCCAGGTTGATGTGCCTACGGACACTGCAAAGATACGCGGTGGCCATCAAACTTCTTTGGTCGTAGCATGCGTGGGGAAAAGCAGCGGGCAGGCTTGGAACATCGCATGGGACACGTTATAAGCATGTATGCATGCATGGTGATATCACATACATATGACCCTGGAGCGTAAAAAACCGTTCGGGAGTGACTTTTGCCGTTCTAGACCGTAAAATACCGTGCGCAGCCTTTAATACTTACGATTTTGGAGTTGGTGTTAAAAAACTTGCTCCCAGGCAGTAGCAGGTAGACGTAGCAGTACATCGCATTGCCTTGACTTTGATGGCCATTGGGTAGCGGATCTTTGGACATTAACTTTTTGGGAGGTGAATTTTCCGAATTGGAGCCACACACAGGCGCAAAGGGATCGTGCCAGCAACCAAGTGCCACGTTGTGCTGGCGTTGTGTGTTGATTTTTATTTTGGGTTCGCTTTCCTTGCGACAATTGGACTTCACCAGAGGCTCCTTTGAGGCGTTGAGGGCTACGGAAGGGTTGTCCTTAGCTCAGGAGCTGCTTCAGTTGAGGTGAAGAGAGAAGAATAAAACATTTTTTGGGGTCACCCTATTTTGAGACAAGCCAATTTGGTTTGTTTGGGCATGTGTACAGACACAATGTTACCCCCGTCTTCGGTTCGCCATTTCCTCGGTGGGTTTTGGGTGGGCTGGTATCGGATTGGGGCCCCGAGGCATCGCGATCGGTTTCTTTCTTCCTCCAGCCCGGCGCGAACCGGGGCCTCGTTTTTTGTTTTTTTGTTTTTTTTTGGTGTCCGGGCTTTCGGAAGGGATCTCTTTCTTTTTTTTTGGGCCTTCTGCGGGCTTCCAGACCAAAGGGTTGGGGGGTTGGACTGGGATCCGTTTCTCCTGTCCTTGCGGGCGAGCGTCACGTGAGCCGCGGTTTGGGTCGAGCTGCGTCCATCGGACTTGGGGTCAGCTGGGGCGGGGTTTCTCGTTTTGCTCGCCCTGGCCGATCGAAATGGCCCGCCTGTACCGACTTTTGTGGGAGTCGGTTCCCCCCTTCTGGCTAGGTTTTACAGGTCATTTTGGGGCGCACCAAAACAAGACGCACCCACATGCAAGGCATAGCTGGTTGGCTTTGGTTCATGCGAGCTGACAAGAAGATCTCTACTATCCCCCCCAAGGGCTTTTGGAGTGAAAGGACACCAAAGTTGGAGGCCATTTTGTAACGAATGTGTCTTTTTCGGATTTCCCGAACGAATGTCTTTTTCCGCATGGATACATCTGGTTCTTGAGGGCAAATGAGAAGCCACCTTCGATGTGAACACCTCACCGGGCGCCAATGGCTCACTTTCGGGGGAACTCACCGAAACCAACCCCCAACCTTGGTGGCAAGCCCAGCAAATCGTTCGGTTCCTTGGGCTTTTCAGTGGTTTTTCGTTGGTCTAGTTGGGCTTTTCCGTATTTCACCCACCAGTTCGTCACTTTTGGCAGAAGACGGAGAGCCCAGTCACATCACCTGACCGCATCCGAGGCTCATGGCGATCCTGGTGGCGATTCTGCTGGAGTTCGCCGTGGTAAGGCCCTGCGGCTGGCGCACCGACACCATCGGGGACGTCTCCGCCGCTCGGGGAAGCTAAGTCGGAGAAGTCGCGCCCAAATTCGGAATGTGGGGGAACCCCGCATGGCATTTGTTTTAACCCCCGAATTGCTGGTTTGGATTTAGGGCTGTGGGGAATGACCACTTCTGTGATACAACAGAAAGGGCTTCCCAAAGACTATTTTGTTAATAGAAAGGGGGATTCCCTTGTATCACAGAAGTGGGGAGGACCCCCCTTGATCCCACAACCCTGGTTTGGATTGTCTTCTTTGGATTTGGACGTGAACGCCTGGCTCTTGTAGAGGGAAAACTGGGCCTGAACCACTCCACCGGGCTTCAAGCCTCCCTTTTCGGGGAACTCTCTGAGTTGAGATAGAGATTTGGGGCCTTATGGTTGCGCGCCAGGTTTGCGGCTCCAACAAAGCCCGGAGAAAGCGGTATAGGAGTCCCAAAAGCGGGATGTGTAGCCCCCCCGAAAGGGTGCGTTTCCCTTTTGGTGTCCCGTCAAACTGCCCTCAACAACAGCCAGGGTAAAAATAGATGGCACCGCTACTCCGTTTAGTTTCATCATCCCAGCGCCATCTACTTTCAAGCAGCGGTATGTCTTTGACCAAAGTGATTAGAACCCACTTCAATGTGCCAAACTGAATCATGCCACCTTTTTCCCCTTGCGATGAAGGGACATGGAATTGTATTTGGGTGTGACTTTTTTGGGTTGAACCCCTAAGGTGGTGGTTTTCCTGTTAGTTCTCCTTGAACACCATTGCACAATCCCTGGGTCCCCCCTCGAAGCTTGGATGAGCCCTCCGAAAGTGGCTTGGCCTCGAGACAAAGCAAACACCAACCCTGCTGCGGCTTTTCCAAAAAAAACAGGTTTCACCCCGCCAGCAACACGAACATCCTGTGGTTTTGTCGGCCTGTGAGGGTTAAAAGGCCCTAATATTTAGGGTCTTGGGCTATAAGGAAAATCATTTTTGACTTCGAGGTGAACCGTTGGAATCCCACCCAAAACGGGATGTGGCTGTGGGTCAAAACCAATGGTACCATTTTGGGGTAGGTGCACCACCCATCTTGGTCTATTTTAGCGGGGATTGGGATGTTCACTGGGGGTACGATTTGGCTTTTGACCCATGGCCATATTTTTCGCCGCGTTCGCGGGTCACTTTCTGAGTGGACTGGCCAAAAGTCCCAACTGTTTTGCTTTTGCCACCCAAATGGTCCAAACCCAAAAGTGACTAAAGTCCATGAAGTCAAGGAGTGAGGAGAAGGAAGGTCCTCAAATATCGATTTTGCACGGAAAACAAGGACTCTTCAACTTGTTTGTCCCTTTGCCAGCCCAAGAGGGTCAACCGGTGCCTTGCGCCCACAATATGAGATTTAAAGGTTCATATCGCCCTCAAACGCTGACATCTTCGGACACCACTCAGTTTTCTGCCGGAAGTTTGGCCCAATTTTAGAAGGGAAGGAACTTTGAAGAGAATGGAGTAGGGCCCCACCCAAAATTGGTGTTTTAACAAAGAGAAGAACAAAAAGCACGCCAGTGGTACACTTCGCATCAAACTCACCAGCGGCTTGAACCATAAGGGTGGTCCAAGGGGCAGGGGGTCCTCAAGCCTCCCAAAGGAAGACCCTGAGGAACCCTGAAACGGTCTCCCAACACTTCCGCCCGATGGTACCTACCCACCTTTGGGTTTTTACTTTCAAACAAGGAGTTCACCTCGGAGACGGCGTTTCCGATCCCCTTCTTCGTGGACCACCCCTCTACGGGCTACGACCTCTCGAAGATCGTGAGCTCTTGGAGCTCGGTACAGTCAGTGCTGGTGCAAGGCTGCTTCGGCTGCGGCTTTCGGTTGGTCCGTTGCCGGTTAAAGGGACTCGGGTGTTTTCTATCTTCATTTTTTGAAGGAGGGAGAGGAGGGGAGGGGTCCCTTTTTGTGTTTTGTTTCTTTCGGTTGCCAGTAGTTCTGTGCCGCTTCTTTCAAGTTGACTTTGTTTCGAACTAGATCCAAATGGCCTGGGTCTAGGTCCTCAAGGCAATAGACAAAGGGGGGACCTACTGTGGATGGTTGCGAAATCCCTTCGCGCCACCGATTAGAAATCATGAATATTCCAAGAAAGCCTTGGTTTCCTCTTGGTTTCAAAAGTGGTGCAGGATTTGGTCCAAAGTTGTTTTCGTACAGGGGGGCAAAGATTAGGTTCCCCTTTGTGGACTTTCGGCCGCCTCAAAAACCAATCTCAGCATATGTGCAGCACTGAGCCCATATTTGCTCCACCAGTACCCCAGCAATCCAACTTGCACAGGGGTTCCTGGACAACCCAAAAGAAGGGCACCATTTTAAGGGCACTTTGGGAATCACAGTTCGCAGAGGTCTTGCCCCTCGAGCCTTCCAAATATGACTCGACGTGTTGCAACCCTTTGGGTTGCCAAGGTGGTCTTACTCCAAACGAGTGACGCCAAAAGGGAGCCCGGTGGGTTTCCGGCCGTTCTGAGAGCCGTTCGCCGGGATGGATGTGGGTTTTTCAGCCAACCCTTGTGAAAACAGGGCGCGTCAAAGTAGGGGGACCGCCAAAATGATGGCTTTCCCAGCCAGAAAAGGACACCGAGACTCAACATGACGCGCACCCAACTGTTTCCCAGCAAACAAAAAGCAAAACAGGGCCAACATTGCACATCCTCCATATATGGGTGTGTGTCCCCCTTAAAAGAGCAAAAATCAAAGACAAACAAAACACAACAGTGTGTTTCTTCTTTTCCCTTCAAAAACGAAGCCTAGAAGGGGTAGCTCCAGAAAAGACGAGCCACCTTTGGAGTTCCCCAAAAAGCCGCAGGTGTCCTGCTGTGCGTGGTGGGCTCAATCGAGTCCCTGATGACCTCGGAGGCCGGCTTTTGGACCCTAACGGTTTATTTGGTGACCGGTCCGGGTGAACGTCGAAATCGGTTTTGGAGCGGAATCCCTGAAAAAAGAAAGAAAACAAAACACACTAGGTTTTCCAGTAGTGCCCTTCTCTCCCCTTTAATGGGGCAGGGTCCCCCCTTCTAAAATAGACTACAGAAAAAAGGTGCCCTTATTCTAACCTCTCTACTGGAGGACCTAGCACAAAAGAGGGCTGCAAGAAAAGGCCGAACATTGTGGTGAGTCAGGGAAGCCACAAAAGTTGTGTATTGCCCAGGGTCAGTGGGTCCCCCCCCCCCCCTCCAATTCCCTTTTTGTTTGGTGGGTTTGGGCTCCGAGTCGTTTCGTGCATACCGAATTAGGGTTGACTGTGCCAAGATGTTTGAAAACCCTGACGACGGGTTTCGTTTGGTTTCCCGCCTTAAAAAAACCACGCTCCGATGGTCAATCGAATAAGTTCCCCTCAGGCCTTTCTGGGCAACTCGCATGGGGTTCCGGGGTTGTGGGGTTCCTCTCTACGAAACATCCAACCAAGCTCGACGTGTTCTCCATGGGAAATGGGGTCGGCCCAAATGAACCATGAGTAAGTCATGTGAGTGTCTGATCCGAAAGACCAATTTGTGTGGTTTCGTTTTGGTTTCCTTTTATAGAGACTCCCCGAAAAAGAGTAGAATCGACAAACTATCACGCATGTTTTTTTTGTTGCGACGGTACCGTTTTGGGAAGATTTGTTGTTGTATGTTTTCTACAACAACATGAGTGCAAACGGAAACTAGAGCCGTTTTGGTATTGTGGATGAGCAGATTCCTGCACCAGTTGGCTGAAACCTGGATGAAGCTGTACATCATAAACTACCTACCAGCCGGGTTCTGTCCAGCAACTAATTTAGACATCCATCAGTATTTAGCCTGTTTTCTTCTGGGAGTTCCAGGAGGAATCCCCGCATTTCTGTTTTGGTTCTTGTTTAGTTTGCAGGCACCCTTTTTCGGGCTTGGTTTGTTTAACCAAAAGGGATGTAGAAGTTTCCATTCTTGTGGCCCTCTTTTTCCTCATGCCTTCCAACCAACAAGATGATGGTTTCAAGTAGCCCCGAAAAGGGTACCTACATTGACACAGACTCATTTGGGCGTGCCTTTTTGCAGGGGACCCTCCATGGCTTCCGGTTCTTTCAACATGGATTCCCACCAGCCCACCAAGCCGTGAATCCTCAACTCCAAGAAAGCCAGAGCGTTTCTCAGGTGGTGGAGTCCTTTGTGAAGACCCCCAGCGAGGGGGACCGCTCCCTCTTCGCCATGGGCCTGGGGAACATCGTCTCAGGCGGGGGTCGAGTTCAAGCCGTGGGATGGAGACCAGGGCAAGCAACGTGGTGGGGTTCTCCGGTTCTCCGGTTCTTTTTCGGTATGGCTGGCTTGGGGATTGGAGAGAGATTCCGGATTTCTTTTTCCCCCTCCATTTTTTTGTTTGCCGCCAATTGATCATGGGTTTTGTGGAGTATGGTTGGTTTTTTTTGCGGGATCAGGTCTTCGACGCTCTACCGCTATTGGGTTGGATCTTTAAACTTTAACGTTTCGGAAAATAAAGGTGTTTTCCACTAACCCCCCCAAAAAGTTAAACTTTTTGCAGAAAGTCAACAGCAACCAAGCATGGTTTTGTGGTTTGGATTTGGATTTGGACATCCTCCACTGCGAGGGCTGGTCAATTGGACACCGCCCTCGAACGGCCTCGATCCCGGGGTTTCGGGGCACGTTGGTCGCGGTTGACAAAGCTGAAACCGCTTTTGGACGTACTGTGGATGGACGCAATCCGTTCGCACCACCTAAGGAAACTATGGTTGAAACCATTTTTCCTCGGTATTTACAGGGGAATCGACTCATGTCTATGGGTTTCTGAACAGTGGTGCGAAATGGATTTCGGTCATCCACAGTAGGATCTGTTTTCTCCCCAGATTTGGGCTAAGTGGGTGGGTGGCCAAAGCTAATTTCTGTAAAGTGATACCATCGTCATAGGCTGCGGCCGACTTCGGTTTCACAGAAAGCAATCACGCCTTGGCGTGATGTCATGGGCCCGTGTTTGATTGATTCTACTGGACCCCTTTTAAGGTACCTTACCCCAAAACTGAGGTCCTGTGCCGCTGAGACACTTTGGTTTTGGGATGCTTCAAGACAAATCAGGAAGGGGGCCCCTTCGAAGATTCCTCACCGGAGGTGCCCTTTTGGCCGTGCTTTTGTGCCGTCAGATCCGTCAGCGGGTACACCCCGGCACTCAAGTCAGCATTCAACGGGGACTCGCATGAGTGAAGCTTAAGACCATGTCTTGTCGTCTTAACATTGGGGTGTCTTCACTGTTCTTGGCATGTTTTTTAGTTTTTTTAGTTTTTTGGTTCTGTTTCATTTTTACGGGGGGTCTGCAAAAAACAGTCAGTTTTTTGCTAGCCTATACCAAGAGAAGAGATGGTGTCGTGTTGTACCTCTTGAGGCGACATCCTCAGATCCGGGCCTGTAAGCTGCGACACTTCGGTCAAAGTCATCCAGGGGTTGAATCAACAGGCTATTGATTTGTTGGTTGGGAACCTTGATTTTAGTTGGGAACCACCTCCAAAGTGGTAGATGGACATGTTTCACCGAACTAAATGACGTCCATCAAGGGGTCTTTCACTCGAATTCATAGCCAGCCATTCATTTGCATGAACAAGAAGCTTTTCCAAGACAACCCGCTTGAAGTCGTTTCGGGAGTTGCGAGTCCAGTCCGTGAAAAGAAGAGACCCCCAACCAATTAATACACTTCACTTGCGGGTCCCATTCTCATAGCTACAAGTTGCATTTTGGTGTCCCTTGAGACCAGCACTTGGCTCAGGTGTGAGGACCCAACGCTTGTGCCTTTTGAGTACTCCCGAGGCTTCTTGGGGGGCATGGGCGGCAACGCCATGATCGGCCTCTCCACCATCAACTCCCTGAACGGTGGCCGTGGACGCATGGCACCGCCTCCCGGCAGTTGTTCTCTGTCCCCATTTCGGAGCCTCGAATTGGTCTCTTCCCCTGCGAAAAAGATAAAGACAGAGGGAGAGAGAGAGAGAGAGAGAGAAAAAAGAAAGAGAGAAGAACAAAAGTTGAGAAAACAACACCTCGTTTTTGAGGGTCACTTTGAGGATGTCTTACTAAAAAGTCCCAGTAGTTGAATATGGCTATGAATTTCGAGAGTTGAAGCAACCTCCAAGATGGTTGGCGGACATGAATCCGTTGAAGGGGAAGCCACTAAAAGGACACCAACCATGTTGGAGTCCATAATGTTGAGAAACACCCGGCTCGAACACCAAGCTTGACTTAAACCCAACAAAAATCTGCCAGTCTTTGGACATACCCCCCCAAGTTGGAGTGAGCCTTTGGTCCCCAAACCCAACACTCCCTCAGTGTTCGCCAGAATCGTTTGGAGCCAAAGGTGGATTCCCCGACGGATCTTGCGTGCCAAATTGCCCTCCCTCCCACAAACAAAGCGCCTGTGGGAGACTGCCGGGAGCAATTTGGCGGGGGTGGGGGTCTTCCAATCATTTTCCGATTTTTGGATACTCCAAAAAGGTGATGGGCGCAATGAAGAAAGCTGAAGACCCTCTAGCCCAAGTGAAGCTGGATCCAAGAGCCATGGCTGCCTTGCCATTTGGCTCACTCTCAGGGTGTCCGGCGAGGAAGTTGGGTTCAAGCGGGGTGCGATTCCCCCAGAAGAAAGGCAAGGAACGTGGTGGAATTTTTGTCGGCCACTCTTGCGGTGAGTGGCCAAAGACATCCCGCTTAAAGGTATCTTAAAGTGAGAGAAGTCGTCGTTGCATGGCAACTGCGGCGGGGCGGGGGGGGGGGGGGGGGTGGAACCTACGACTATGCCTTGCCAGCGGGGCGCTGCTTTGGGCAAGGGATGCGGTCAAAGCCCGAGCATATCTTTGGACTCCTTGGATGTTGAACCCACTTAGCAGGCTACAACCATGGTTTCAAGGTTTCAAGCGAGACAGAGGTTAGTTGACGTACGGCCATGGTCATCAACTTAACAACTCACTCCTCGTTGCAATTTAAGTTGTGTCGCGGATCTCATGTTTGTTTCCAGCACCTGGGCTTCTCAGCCTCTCGGCCCTAAATCTTTCGCTGGTTCCAAGGATTTCCTGCCACTCTTTTTCACCATCCCCCTGGTTGGTGGATTGGTTTGGTGTTTGGACTTTCGGGGCGTCTTTCCCAGAGCCAAAAGGAGCTTGATCCAACTGCAAACCGCCAAGTCGCGGGAGGCTGACTTGTTGCGAAAGACCCCCAGAAACGAATCTTCCCCCTATGACATGGGCCCCCTGGCCTTCCTCTCCCCCCCAACCCCCGATCCTATGCCCTGAATGGCGGCGATCGCATCGAGGACCTGCACCGCGCTGGTAGTCATGGCCTCGGTGATGGGCGCCTACCGCCTGCTGAACTTCATCCCCGTGGCAGCCCTCGCAGGCGAAGCGCGAAGTCAAGCAGAAGTCGACCCCAGTTGAGCCACAATCAAAACCGATTCGGGTAGATGGAGGTTAGTAAGGGAGACTCCCAGCCATGAAAAGTTGCGGCCGCCTTCTTAATTCTTTACATGGACCATTTTCATACCGGGTTTTGATTATGACTCAGTTTTTGTTGCGGGTTTCGGTTCAGAGAAAGACCTATTTTTCGGAGTTCGGATGACTTCCGCGCGTGGATTGGCCAGGTGGCATTTGGAGCATTGGGGGGGGTGGGGAAAAGGGCGAAACGCCGAAAAGCCGAAAACTCGCGGATGGCAGGCCAGTTGAGGAGAAACACGGTGGTGGGTTCCACTGCCTTAGATCTTTTTGATTCCACTTGGCCCACGCCGATCTCCTTTGGACCCTTTGGAGCGGTTTGCAGTGGCTGGGAGCCACGGGAACCTTAGCCCTACGGTGGATGCCAACTTGCCATGGACGTTCGGAACATTCTGAACTCTCTGAGTTGCCGGAGCTCTCCATGGTGCGGTTTTTCGTACGGTTGGCTTACTTCCAATTTGGGTCTCTCTCTCTCTCTCTTTTTTTCCGGAACGGGTGGTGCGGTGGTGCCAGTTTTTGGTGGTTTTGAACTCAAAAAGCCAGGAAAATCAAAATCCATTCGGGGGGTCCAACTCCGGAAAAAGACGAGCCACCCCCGTCGGCACGGGGGAATCTCCCGTACCTTGGGTTTCGAACCCCGCGGATGGAGCAGCCCTACTTTCCGGTTTGAGTCAACATGAAGAATCTATGTCCCCTCCCCAAAACAAACAAGCCCCTCCGTTAAAAAAAAGAAGAAGAAGAGCAAGTCCGAAAACAATCAACAACAAACATCTCCCGCCTTCCACAAAAAAAACAGCACAACAACGGGAAGGAACAACAGGGGTGTGCCCATTTTGAGGGTAACACTTCTCGGAGAAGTCTTGAAAGGGAAAAGTTGAGAAAGCGCAGGCGCAAACAAGGACCCAGGGCCGAGGGGTTCAAGATGGTTTGCAGGAACGGGCTCTGAGAAAGGGACCGAATTGAGCATCACTGCCCAGAATCTCCAAATGGCCTTTGGTTGAACCCTCCAGATGATTGAAGCCAAACCAGCAAAACATGTTCGTTGAAGGTTCAGTCTCCAATGTTCTTTTCAACCTAAGGGAGACCAATGAATGCCTAAAATGGTTATCCTTGTGGTTTATTGCCAGCGAGGCATCATGATTGTGGTGGTTCTGCACACCTTCAAGTGGTTCTCCATTGCCATGGTGCTGGCCGCCATTCTGCCCAAGTCCATGCGCGACCGCCTGAACCTGCACCGCAAGGCGGCTGATTGAGCGCCCGTTTGTTGGCAGCTCCTTGGGCCGTAGGGCTAGAACATTTGGGTGGGTCAACAACAGGATACCTCCAAAATGGGTTGGTTTGGGAAAGGCGAAGGACTAAAACCTGCATATCCTGGTGGTTGAATTTTGACCACCCGTTTGAAGACGCGTCTCTTTTTTTTGTTTCTGTCGGAGACCACTCTAGCGAAAATGAACAAGTTCCAAACTGAGGTGTGTCTTTCGCTCGCGCGAAGCTGGCCGCTTACGCACAAGCGGGGGCTAAAACCAAGACAAGCTCACTTGCGACCACAAGGCGGCCGCCAGTACGGTGGATGCCCGAAATCTTTGCAAATGAACCACTCATCTTCAATCACACTCGCTCATTCCTACTTGAAACTGGAGAGCAAACCACAACAGAAACTCCAGTCGCATGCTAGGAACACCCACTGCTTCGAGGGGAAAAACCTTGGGCGGTGGTCATGGCTCGAGCGCCGCCTGAGTCAAGGTGCGAAGAAGACCGTGGTAAATCAGGGTACCCTCTAAGCGAAAACCCTTTAATTTTAAAGGGTCAAATGGGAAAACCTGGTTTTTGGGCAAGTTTTGGAAAAATAAGGGTTTTCCAGGGAAAAACCCGGTATTTCACTTACATCCTTTATTTTGGCACTTTTCGCAAGCGAAATGTCGGATGTTTGAAGAACAGAGCAAAGGTGCCGGATCTCGAGGAGGTGTTGAAAGGAGCCGCCAGGTTTCTTTCACTGCCAAATTGTATATTGGGTTTCTATAGATGTTTTTTGGGAATCTCTTGTGGTTTCCTTTTGTACCGCCAAGTGCGCGATAGCCTCCTGCTCCTCAAGAGGGGAGCTCAAAAGGCAGGGGTAGACGCGAGGGCGTGGTCAACCCAAACTCAAGAATGAAGCGGGACAACCAACTTGAATGTACAAGTGTGCAGTTCACTACATGACCATCAGTAGCTCTGCGTGATTGACACATCATGCTCAAGCATGGTACTTGTTTTGTGTGATTAGCCATGGTTCATATCATCATCAGGGACGTCGCGTTAGTGACCGACCTGTGGTGTTTTGGCTCAAGTTTTGGGTTCCGTCGCGCCTCGAATGGGCGTCGCCGAACCCCTGCGTCGACCGACGGCATCTCGGGGGAGAAAGAGACCTCGGGCCGCCGCCAGGTTGGTAGGGACCAGTCGTGCGGCCTGTTGTCGACCAAGGTTGCGGGTTAACCCTTTTCTTGTTTGGTTTGTTTTCCTTTGGTTGTTGTTCTCTGGTGTGTGGGAAACCCTGATCTTTGGGACCGGGGATTGGTTTGCTTTTGGGGAACCTTTCTTTTGTGGCTTGTTTACCCCAACTTACCCATTGCCTGGGCACAGGCTCGTGCCCGAATCACAGGTTATCAGCCGTAGGACTTTCCTACGCGCTTGAGACCATCAACTACAAGCTCTATGTCGACCCCACGATCTCGAAGGAGCGTCGTGGATGAGGAGGCCATCCTAGGTGGCCTCCGCTCAGGTGAGGACCTACCGGACTATGACTACGAGGATTTCGAAGCAGGTTCGACAGGTCAGGACCGCAGGGGTGAAGATCCCGGTAGGGATACACCCAGGAGCCGTGGCAGGTACGCCGACGATGGAGACGATCGTATTTTCCGCCAGGCCACTGATGACGAGCAGACACGAAGGGTTTACTCCGGTAGGAGTGGCTCTGAATCAGGTCATAGGCGTGGACGTTTTGACTTCATCAGCATGGCGATGGACATGGCCCGCCCTCATTCGGATGACCCGGAGGCCATGCCGATTCGACCTCCGAGATCTCTTGTTCCAGGTGAGTCGCAGGTCTCGGATGAGTTTGAGAATAGGCCGCAGGGACCAGGGACTATGGTTCTGGCTCCGGGAGGTATCCCGGGCCGATCCACTGGTTCTCAAAATCCAGGTCAGTTTGATGAGCACGAGGAGCGGAAATTCACGGACTTCGGATACGATGATCTGTTGAAATCAACCGCAGGTTGGGGCAGTAGCTCAAAGCAGGGATCTGATGCCGGTAGGCCCAACCCTAATACTGCCAAATCTGAGTCTTATGATGGCGAAGGTTACAATTTTGCGGATGAGGAGGAGAGCCATTCGCGCCGAAATGCAGGCAGCCGTGCGACTGCAAGGACTAGTCCCGCCGCTGCCAAGTTTGAGGTCGATGATGATGACGAGTATGCCGCATTTGCGGATCGCCGTGATGAGGAGGAGGACCAACCACGACGAAATGCTAACATCCGTGATGCTGCGAGGCCCCGGAGCCTCTCTCGTGGAGCCGCCAGGGACCTTCGCGTTGACAGGGATGCCCGAAGCGAGAGAGAGAGAGCCAGGGACAGTCGGGAAGTTCTTCGGGGATTGGAGGCCATCCATGACCGTGAGGGACCGGTAGGTCCCCCGGCGATTGGTGATACCCCGAATGTTCCCCCTTTTCCCAACATTACGTTTGGAGGTCCGTTAAATCAGAGAGACGTGAACTCGAACCGGGTTACTGGTTCGCCGAGAGTCACTGAGCGGGTTGCCGATGTCGTTGGGAGAGGTGCAAGAGATGGCCGGCTTGCCGATGCACTCGGAATCGAGGATCGTCCGTCGATCGCTAGCCCGTTAGGGCGAGATACCAGTGACCTTGAAACGCTAAGGTCCAGCAACGAGTTCACACCTCAATGGGGCTCGACCGCCAGGGAACGTAGTGCTTCTGCGAAGAGACCGTCACCCCTGGCCATTGAGACCGATAGGTCGAAGGCGAGGAGGGCTAGCCCCTCACCAATGGACTCAACTCCGCAGGATGAGGAGATGCCTGATCCTGCTGATGTTCACATCCACTCTACTCCCGAGTCTCGTGCGTCCCATGTTGATCCCCGTTCCGGCGATAGCCGTAGAAGGGGTTCTACCCCTAGCAGGCCATCTGGGGCTGGTGATAGTCCTGTGGATGACCCCAGAAGATATGCTAGAGCTAGTGGGGCTCCTGAGAGGATCGAGATATCGACTCCTCCAGCACTCAGGTCTCATTCTTCCGGTGAATCAGGTGACGCTAGGGCAAAGGAGGTGTTCGATTTGCACATCCAGGAGATGCTCGAGAGAGGTGAGGTTTCTGGCTCAGTCGCGAAAGCGTTCCATATTTTTGCTGACCAGATCAGGTTACTGAACGGTCAAGTGAGTTCCATGAGAAGGGAATGGAGCGACGAGAATCAACAGACGAAGTACAAGGTCGATGGTTGCGACTCAATCTGATGCCGGGAGGATGCGAATGATAGTTCAACGGTTCGCAAGGGAAGTTATTCCCGATAGCAGGGCCATTGTGAGGCAAGCCATCGATGAGCAAGCCGAGGTCGTGGAGCAGAGGATTAACCTACTGTCCCACGAGGTCCATGAATCTGTCAAGGACAATGAGGCATCGACTGATCGGCTTCGCCTGATGATTCAGGAGAATAGTGAGGCTGCCCGCAGAAGCCATGCTGCTTCTGAGGACGAGATCCTTAAGGATTTGGACAAGCTTGAGAAACGGATGTTCTCGGTAGAGAAAACCGTTGGGATGCGGACACCAGCAGGTGTATGGAACCCGAATCCTGTCGCGCATCCGTCCGATAGGGCCAGCGGCAGTGTAGTGGATGCAAATTTCAGGGAGTTAAACCTGAAGATCGAGAAAGCTCTCCTTGAACACGAGACATTTGCCAAGTGGGCCTCTGAATCTATTGAAGGGATCAAAGAAGAGCACACTCGTCTTGTTAATCGAGTGTCGAGACTGCAGAGTGGAAGGGGTTCTCAGGAGGTCGATAGACCATCAGAACATGATTCCCCGCAGGACTGGCATGAGGCTATTGACGAGATCAATCGGAAGATGCAGGATCTGGCTCGAGGAATTCAACGTCAACGTCGGGATCATGACGACATCATTTCAAGGTTTGAGACCGTGAAATCACATGTTGAACAGTATGAAGCGAGATCGGCAATTGTGAATCGGGTCGTTGATGGTATCCAAGGACAGATCCGTAATCTTCCTGCAAGCAGTGACCAAGTGCAGCCTGCCGTTAGGCGAGAACTCGGCTCGTTCCGGAGTACGCTTGAAGGCGTTATGCGGAGAGTCAGCGCTATCGATGGTAACGTGCGTAATCTTAGCGCAGCGAACAACAGAATCATGTCTCAGCTCTTTGAAATGGAGGGTCAATTTGACGAGGCCGCTGGCATCATTCAGGGTGTCCAGCAGATTAATGAGGCTCCTCAACAGACGGAATGTTGGTTACGATGCATTTGCGGGGCAGGGACATAGGATCAGGTCTCCGACGCCCACACCCGGGGAAGGTGACGGCCGGGGTACTGGCCGTCCGGTGAGACCAGGCGGAGGTGTTGGTTTGACTGACCAGGTTTTGCCGAATGTGCCCGATAGGGTCGATCCTTCTCGTGCAGACAGGCATCCAATATATCCCGTTAGGGAGGGGTCCGAAAGCAGAAGCCGGAGGGCTCGAGGATTACCTGACAGGTCGCATTCACCGCCAGGGCGTGCGAGGGATGGCCCCCGCGCGCGCGCAAGGGGGGACTTTTCTGTTTCTCCAAATAGGGATGTGGGTAGGAATAGGAGCCCGAGGCCTGCCGCCGTCCCCGATAGGGGATCTGAGGTCCGAAGTCGGCAATCAAGGGGGGAGAGGCCAATCCGCGATAGCGGGAGCATCTCTCCGAACCTGGATAGACCGATCCGCGATAGCGGGGACGTCTCTCCGAACCCAGACCGTCATCCAGGAGGTGGTAGGGGTATTAGGGCCCATGTCGATACCCAGAGTCCCGGCGATGACTGGAGGACTCCTGGGAGCAGAGCTAGTGCAGACGTCCCGAGTCCCGGCGAGAGGTGGAGGGCCCCTGGAGCTCCATCTGATCGTGGACAGGCCCCGGAACCGGCCACGAGAGGCGCTCCCGGTGCCGGTGGCCCAGGTGTGCCAAAGATTTGCGCCCTTGATGACCCCAACGACCGTAGGCACCC